TTGTAAATATTCAAACGCTGTACTTTGTCTAACTATTTTTTTTTTCGCAGGGGACATTCGCCAGCTGTATATTGTTTAAGTTTTACTTTGTTTATAGGTATTTTCTTTTTCTTCAAAGCAGATATGACTTTTTAAATACTTGGATGGCATTAGAGGCGTAATTTGGTTTATGGTTGTGGGGGGGGGGATGAAATGTATGTACATTTCCCCCCTCAACATTTTTTTTTTTTTTTAATCATTTAAGCAATAAGCACCTCTCAATACAAGTATACAACCATTATGATCTGTACCTATGTAATATTGTAGGTATACACTATACATTAAAATAAATAATAACATAATATTTAGATATTCACATTTAGGTACACTTAAACATTAACTTTATTGATACCTAGGTCCTAGATACTAGATGCAGTTACATCACAAATCACAATAAAAGCACTCTACGTGGTCTTAATGCTAATTCATTAAGCACTTTAAGCAGACTGCAGAGGAGTGCAGCTAATAGAGCCGATTATCAGCGACGGATTAAGAGTTAAAAACGCCTGGGGCAAAATAAATGTAATGCCTCTTTGCTATAATTTCGAAAATAATTAAAAAAAAAAAAAATAGTTATTTTTATTATGAGAAATTGATTATTAAAATAACTATTTAAAATACAATATATTTTATTTGAATATAACAGTTTTAGATCAATTTTTTTCTGATAATTTTTCCCGAAGCAAATTTATGAATTTTTTTGTTCCCATTCTATTTGTTTTAATATTGTATTCTCTATACTCAATATGGAAAGTGCCGAAAGTTTTTCATTAGATCATGATGATCTAAGGTAATTTTTCACTCTTCAGAACTGAGAAAGAACGTTCCCCAGTGACATTAGAGTATGGAAGAGAGCAAAACAATTCTTAGAGCTATTTCAACATTTGGGAATGTTGAAGAAAGCTGAGATTGTATGAGAGCTTTATTAAAATGTGAAGCACAGATGATGATTCGTTTTCAATAGAAAAATTACAAATTATATCTTTAAATTGTATAACTTCTTCTATGAAATCGTTTTCAATATCTTCAGGATAAATATCAATACGTTTTTCTGCATAGATTTTAATATTTGTTTACTATTTAATATCACTGTATAAATTCTAAAAATAACTTATAAAATATAGCCATCTCAATAGATGATATTCTTAAGAAACGAGTTAGCTAAATGTCAGTGCCAAGAGTCGATCCGGCGTAAAAATATCTACTATTGCCGATTGAAAGCTTATCAATCCGGCGGGTGGTGGATCTGTAACGGGGAACATGTAAAATAACATTTAAATGATACACAGCGTCAACGTTACATCTTCTCACTTTCAATCGCCAATATGAAAGAATAATATTTACTTTTTTTTAAACTGACATACCCTTTTTCACCAAAAACGTCCAAGTATAATATAATAATTAATAATGAATAATTCCTATTGATATTAACAATATGTTTACTCCGTTCTTAAAATATGAAAATGATAAAGGGGCAGTTGCCCCCTTTGCCTCCCGGCTCCCGTTAAACACGACTCTGCCGATTATTACCAAATGAGAACATAGTAACAGACTAACGGAGGTCGGAGTCCTGAGAGTCGTTGCGATTGGGAATATTCCGATAAACCGATAATGTGGAAAATCCATCACTTATTTTTAGCGGGTATAATATTGTTTGATAATATTGATGGATGATTATATAATATTATGGAGATTCGTGTGATTTTTGTATTATCTATAAAATATACATGAATAAAATTAGTCTTATATACTAGTGTTTGAAAATTAAAAAAAAAAAAACGGTTATGGGGGGGAGGAATTCGACACCCAAATCCCCCCTTAATTACGCCAATGGATGGCATTGATTCAAAATTGAAGTAAAACAATAAATTATGCCATCCCTATACTGCATTATTAGTCCTAGGTAAATCTTCCGAAATCAATGAATAACAATTCCAAATTGAAAAGTTAAATTTAGGTACTTGTTATTTTTGTCTTGCGGTACCATAATGAGCAATATTGATTATATACCTATACCTTCAATTGTAAATATAATTTAAAATATATTTTAATAAACTTAAAAAAGCATATCACTTGTTTTAAATTTGTTTTATCCATTATCCCTAATGAATTGTAATTTTATATATTTTATTATTTTAAATAAAAAAAAAAGGTGGGCAAGTGGGTGTCGCTCTGCTGTACAGTAGGTTACAAGTGGGTCACTGTATAATGGATGATATTAAATTTGAATTCAACGATATATTATCATTGTATAAGAAAAACGATTCTGAGCGGAGACGGTATGTCAGTCTAGGTATAAGACATATTATATACATATCTATGGTATTAAACAAAAAATAGGTACCTATAATAAATTCCAAATTAATCATATCACAATATCCATTAGGTACTTATAACGCGTTATACATCAACAAAAACCGTGATGCTATCATAGATATATAATAATACACTTTAGAAGTTTCAAGTACCCACGAATAATATTATTCAATCACAACAAAAAACTAAAATAGTTATTCTAGGTTTTTTAATATGTAAATTCGTCCAAATTGGAATTTAAAATGTCTGTAAAAAATAACTGTGTAAATATATTTTTTCGATTTTTTGATTACAGTATGAACTATTTATGAGAACCTTTGTTTTAAATTTTCAATCCTTAGCTATAAAAACTGAACATTTTATAATTTATTAATTAGAATGATTGATAATTTTCGAGATTTTGATAAATTTTGTCAAAATTCGATCTTTAAATGCTTATAAAAAGAAATTGTGCCTATGTATTTTTTATATTTTTTAATTGCTATTGTAACAATATATCAGAAGCCTTGTATTTAATTTTTACACTTCTTAGCCCAACAGATAAAACTTTATTAATATTTATAGAAAAAAAAAACTAAAAAGAATTATAACTGTAAATGTCCGTAAACAGCTCAAAGAGTCAAAATAATTTCAAAATTGTAAGGCGTATAGGATATGCTAATATCAACATCCAGTGAATACATTTTCATGTACCTACAGTTATTCGTTTTTGAATTAGGTACAACAAAATAAGGAAATCGCTACATGAAAAAATCGAGTGAATGCCCAATGTTGTAAAAATTTGAATTTCAAACGCTCATAAAAATTTAATTTGACTTTCCGGTAGAGATTTTTATATTGATAAAGGTAGACAAACTTATGAGTAATCTTGTATTACATTTTCAAATCTTAGATTTAAAAAGAAAAATTTTTACGAATTCTTAACTCAAAATAATTTGCTAATTTTCGTGATTTTTCCATATTTTGTCAATTTTTGAACTTTAAATGCCTATAAAAAAAAATTGTGACTAAGGATTTTTAATATTTGTCATCTGCCTTTGAAACAATATACTAGGAGCCTTCTATTAAATTTTCAAGCTTTTTTAATCAACAAATATTATTTTATTGATATTTCTAGAAAAAAAACTAAAAAAAAATGGAAAATGAAAATGTCCCTAAACAGTTCAAAACAAATCATAATATTTTGAAAATGTTATCGTGCGTATAGAAAATGCAAATATAAACAACCAGTGAAAATTGCAAGTATCTACGGTCATTTGTTTTAAAGTTACACGAAAAACCAAATTCAATTTTGTGAAAAATCGATTTTGCGTAAAAACTCCCGTTATTTCCTTAATTTTTCTTTTGTTTTTCTTGGCGCTTTTGAAAATTACTGGGAATTTTAAATTTTGACCTCCCCAATGCACCAACGATATTCACTTTCGAATCGAACAAGATACTAAAGTCGAAAATCGAAGCATTATTTCGACTACTTATCGAGTACACAGACACAAAAATAAAAAAATAAATATAAAAACACACATCATTGTAAAATCAATACATTCATCGTTCCACTCAGAATCTAAAATATTAAATGTAATGAATACCATGTTATTTGTAAGTTTATTTTACTCAGTTGCCTGTAATGATATGCTTATTACAATTTAAAAATATTTTAGTTATCAGAAAATCAAATTAAAGTATTTAATTCAATTAAACTTTGAAAGTAATAAAGTAAAATAGTTAGTGGGGTACTAGAGACCCGAAAACCAACTAAATTCTTGGATAGATATAAAATAATTATTAATTACGCATGAGTTGATAACATTATTGAATTATTGTTTCATCAGACATATAGTTGTTATATTAGTAAAGCATATTATTTTAATTAGAAAATGGTTATTAAAGTAAGTAAGAAAATGTATCAAAAGGTTAAACCACATAAATTTCAAATAAATGTATATTTTATTTTGTCTAGGTATTGATTAGGTACTATAACTATTAGGTATTTTACGTATCACTATTCACTAGGCAAGGCTGATAAAAAATATTTTGCACTGTACTAATTAATTATTTAGGTACGTTATTATTTATTTTAATTATATTTTTAAAATTGAATTACTCATAAGAGTTAGGCTCGACGACGACGACGAATTTCCTCAGTATAGGAATGGGAGGTGTGATATTGGCGGAAACAGGATGATACAGTTTAGTTATGGGGGGGGGGAAGTCTCTGCGGTCTATTCGGTTTGGTGCAATGACCACAGAGCTCACATGAATTGGTTTAAAAACTTAAGATTAACTTAAAACTAAGGCAGACGGCTATACTGGTCGTCCCTCTGGTCGACTCGACGCACTGGAACACCGGAGGCGGCCTCTCACACCACTCGATTGAATGGAGACGTTTTAATTTACCAGTTGTAAATGAAGTAGCTGCTATAATTAATGGGAATGAATTTTCAAAACGCGATATTGTGTTACAAAAACGTAGTAATGAGTATGTAACGGTCCAAGAAACCCACAAATCGTATGATGCTTTACAATATCCATTGATGTTTTGGATGGGGGAAGATGGATATCATTTTGAAATATACGAAATAAATCCAGTTACAGGTTTGTCAACAAAGAAACGTGTGTCATCAATGAAATTTTATGCATACAGAATGATGATACGTACAAATCCAGAAAATCATTTATTACATTATAAGCAATTGCTAAATCAATTTATAGTTGATATGTATGCAAAAATTGAAAATGAACGTTTACGCTATATACGATGCAATCAAAAAGCTCTTAAAGTTGAACAGTATATTCATTTAAAAGATGCATTTGAAAATGATGAAAATGTTTCAGATATTGGTCAAAAATGTATATTACCAGCAAGTTTTATAGGTAGTCCACGACATATGCATGAATATATACAAGATGCTCTTGTTACGTTAGACATAATGGAAAGCCATGTTTATTCATTACATTTACATGTAATATTCGATGGACAGAAATCACCAATTTATTGTTGGCTGATCAGCAACCAAGTGATCGCCATGACTTAATAGCAAGAGTATTCAAATTAAAATTAAGAAAGCTAATCGATTTGATAACTAAGTGTAAGATTTTTGGTAATGTTATATCTTGGGTTTATTCAATAGAATGGCAAAAAAGAGGTTTACCACATGCTCATATTTTAATATGGTTAGAAAACAAAGTTCATCCAAAACTTACGCAAGACGTCTGTCACCAACTCCAAGGTTGGACAATTTCCAGCAACCAGTCGAATATTAATATTTAATTTAAGAAGAACTCATGGATATGCTGGTAACGATGAATATTTTATTGTTGAACATACAGTTGCGTTGTCCATTATAATAACGGACGAACGGAGATCACACTAACGATTTAACAAACAATATAATAATAATTTTCGGATCACAATGATCCGACGATGCTCTGGTTACAAGAATAACAATAACACTAGCAATAATAATCCACACAATTGTGGATATGTAACACCAAAAAAGAGGTTTATAAGATAGAAAAAATAGCAAAAAACACAAAAACTTTACGTGTTTTTTGTACGAGCGATATAATAATAGTGTGTGTGTGACAAAAGGGCGTTGGCCGCAATAATAAGATATCACGAAAAATCAAAACAAAAACATTGATAATCGCGAGGCCAACGACCTAGCAATAATTATCACACATAGACAAAACAAATAACGTATGGTAAATACCAATTACAATAAATCACGGTAGGAAGAGGAGAGGAGTGGAACGGACTGATAAAAAGAAATGTGCCGTCGTGCTCATTAGCATATTATCACATTGATAATTTTCAGCGCCAACACAATGTATTTTCTTTTTTTCTCTCAATAATTACTAATAAATATTATAATATTGTAATACAATATAATCAATCCAATTAGTAATTTGTACTATATCAAACAATAGTTTAATGTTATAAAATATCCAATACAAATTTTAATATTTATTATTTATTTTATAATTAGTTTATAGAATAAAATGAATTGTGTTTTCTAGTTAATATGACATAATGATTTATAAGCTGTTTTTATTATGTATTGGACTAAAATAGTCACAACACCCCGTATATCATTATGCCTAAACATTTAGTTTTAAAATGGTTTTGAATAGACACATTTAGAATTTAGAACACGTGTAATAACTTTTTATCCTAAAACTTGAGTTTTTTATTTTGGTTTTGAAAAATCTAACAAAAACCTAAATCCTACAATATAAGACCTACTCCTATAAAACTTACAAGGATCAAAACAGAATCGTACCTACATCATTTTCCAGATGCTAAAAGTTGTTTAACACATCATTAAGGAGGTAAATTAAGTGTTCAAAATTTAAATTATTCAAAAAAAAAAAAATTAGCAAGGAATTTTGTTTTGTCAATTTGTCAATTTTTAGATCGATACGCGGCTTTTTTGAGAGCAGAAATTTGAATTAGAGGTGTCACTGCGTTGAAAATTGAGGACCCCCGACTCCGGAAGTACGTTTTAGAAGGGCCTAAACCAAAACGTTTGGGAACTAAAAAGTACAATATTATCTTATGTGAACGTCATCTACAACTACCTACTAATAAATGATTTATTGAACTTTAAAAACTATTACATATTTACATACGTTTATTCGAATTTGGTAATTACGCTATCAGCATCGTACAACATTCTATGCCAGTAGTTTTCCTAGAAGTAGTTACCTATTCATATAATCACATCGATAATAAATCTATTTAAGAGTGTTAAACATGAATACATGATCAATTGCTTATATAGGTAATTGATGAAGTTTAAAATTCAATCATCGAAGTTAATGATACTGTTGGGTACGGATCCGTCACACGTCTCGCGGACTTCGGTCGACCGTTCGTCGTTATCGCCCTACCTCCCACCACGAGCACACGCGCTTCATACAACACTTATCTCGCCGTTGTCGCGCGTGTTTTTTATATTATCGGTTTTTGCAGTTCGTCGTCTCTCGTCCGTCGTACGTCGCCCAGCCATCCTGGCTTTTTCGGCTTAACGGTTTTTGTGTTTTTCGTACCTTTGCGGCCGTCTGCGCCAAAATCACCGCCCGGACAGTGTCGTGTTCGTTTCGTGTTGTGTCGTTCTGCACACACACGAATTTCATACCTTTGCGGCCGTCTGCGCCAAAAGCACCGCCCGGACAGTGTTGTGTCCGTTTCGTGTTGTGTCGTTCTGCACCAGGGACTGGAACCGTACCGAAATTGACCGGTTAAAGACCGAAACCTTTTGAAAATCTTGGGACCGAAACCGGACCGGAACCCTTAAATACATTTTTTTAGTAACCGAAACAGAAACCGAAACCTTTATTTTGATGTAGAGGTTTTTACGTTTTTTTTCGGTTATTTTCGGTTCTAAAATCCAATAGATATTTTAAAGTGCGAACATAAATATACACTTATTGTTATTTGTTATTACACATCTGATCAAGAATCAAGATACTCCCTCTATCTATTATTAAAATAAACTAATACTATTTTTACAAACAATTATTATAGTACCAACGAAAATAATATGATATTAATATATTATCAATAACACAGCTGTGTTATTGACATCGTCGTCGGAGTCGTTAATAATAATTAATACCGCTAAAAATAGTTACACATAATGTTTACTCTTTACTCTATGCTCTGTACGACAATACGACTGATTGCTGTCTACTGAATGGTTTCCTGTCTCCGTTACCGTTACTGTTTAATTAATGTTTATTGTTAAAAACTATAATTTATATTTTTATAAGGTGTAAACTATAAAGTTTAGAGTATAAATTGAAATATGGGTCACATAAAGCTCACACATTACAATTAGCTGTTCTTGATACCTTGAAGCACATCAGTATAGATAAATTATTAAGCAAAGTTCGCATACTAGTTAGAAAGCTACGCAACCAAACTTAAATTTATTTGATCAAAAAGGAGCAATTAAAATTGTCAATTTTGGATTGCCTAACACGTTGGCACTCTACATTTGACATGCTAGAGAGATTACAACATCTAAAATCATTTATCCAAAATATGGCAGCAAATGACCCTAAGCTGAGAAAACTAAAAAATAGGTACGTACCTCGTGGGTATCTAGTTATATTTTAAATATATTATTATTTAGGTTTTGTTTGCTAATAATTTTTTTTGAATTCTTACAATGTTTAGAATTCAATGGTATAGTGAAACTTCCATAAATAGTCAGTAAATTATTGAATATAATAGAATATTTTTTATAGTTTTAAATTGTTAATGTTAAGATTATATTGTAATGATATTATATTAGCTAAATTCTTAAATAGGTACACTTAATTATAAATAGGTACCTGCAATCATAAAATAGAAGTTCTTAATATATTAATTTTTTTATACAGAACTTAATTGATAAAAAAAAAAATAAAAAGCAAAAATCAAATAATAAGAGTTAAAACCGGTATTAATCGAAACCGAAATTTGATATTTTTGAAAACCGAAACCGAAATTTTGGATTTTTGAGAACCGAAACCGAAACCGAAACCCATAAAATCATAAAGGTTCCAGTCCCTGTTCTGCACACACACGAATTTCATTATTTTGCGGCCGTTTGCGCCAAAATAATAACCGCCGTTTTTCGCCCGCCCGTCGATGCACGCATTGCGATACGCCGTGGTCCCTGCGTGGTATTCGCCGTTTGACCGCTCGCCCGTCGTTGTACGCAGTGCGATCCGCCGTGGTGTTCGCCGTTTGACAGACGCCGCGACAACGACGTCCATACGCGACGAGCCGTCATATTACGCGGCCGTACGAGCTTTTCGAACCCGCTTCGTCCGATTTCAACACATTTGTCAACCATGACGTTTTATTACACGGCAAGCTCATGGGTTCGTTGACCTGCCGGCCGACGTTGCCCTAGTCTACGTGTGGTGTACTGTCGCGATCCGGTTCCACCTCCGTCAGCTGATCGTCGTTCTGGGACAATCACACCACCCTCACGGTATCATCGGCATTATCAAGTATCAACGCATATCAGGTCGTACACAATATTGTTGTTGTTTATTTTTCGCATCACGCGCACCGTCACCGTGTATTATTTTCATTATTTGTAATTGATTTATTTGCCGATCGGATTGTGATCGTGCACACTATACTATTATTACTAACCCTAGTCGTTAAGTTACTACATTTGCAGAACATTCAAAATAAATTATTCTGTACTTTTTTCATACCACAAAACGTAATTGTTAATGTTCATCCCAATACCTTAAACTCAATATTATGAATTTATCTTAGATACAGTCCACTCTCTCATCCTCCTCCCCACCGATAGAACGTCGAGGAATATTCTTATATACGAAGACAACAAACGCGTCGGTTTACGTGTAGCTGCCGCCTGTGCACACACATCCAGGTACATCCGTCGCCCGGCTTCCTTGTGCAGCCCCCTTCTTCGCACAGATACATACGTCTCGAAAATTATTAAAATTAAATGTATTTTGTTATAATACTATAATATGACATGTCTTGAAATCTACTAACGCTGGACAATAGCCAATAGGTATAGACGTTTAGTAAATTAGTAAATGGCAGATATATATTATGATATTATGTATATACTCTATTCAGAACTATTGTGGTCGTCTGTTTGTGGATGAGATTAATCCCACATACGAGAACGATGAATGGTAAAAAATCCTAAGTTTATCGATAGATAATTTTATGGAGATCCTATTTAAATGGTCGGTGTAACAAATTTTCCAGTAATTTATCTAACTTTCAAAAGCTTTCAAAAGCAAAAAAAAACATACAAAAAATCATAATCTAATAATATTAAAAAATCATAGATTGTAAGCTATGAAAACGAATTATTAATTAGTGTAATCACGGTCCAGGTGTTAGAAGGTTACCGCTTAATTGAGGTTACGTTCAATTCATATGTAAATAATAATTATATTTTTATATTATTTATTTAATTTATTAAATTTATTAATAAAAAGGTGGGCAAGTGGGTGTCGCTCTGCTGTACAGTAGGTTACAAGTGGGTCACTGTTTAATGGATGGTATTACTTTTGAATTCAATAATATTATATCATTGTATCAGAAAAACGATTCTGAGCGGAGACGGTATGTCCTTCTAGGTATAAGACATTATATACTTATCCATGGTATTAAAAAAAAATTGACCTATAATGAATTCCAAATTAATCATATCACAATATCCATTAGGTACTTATAACGCGTTATACACCAACAACAAACCCTGATACTATCATAGATATATAGTAGTATACTTTAGAAGTTTCAAGTACCCACGAATAATATTATACCATCACATCAAAATAACTAAAATAGTTATTCTAGGTTTTTTATTACCTATGTAATTTCGTCCAAATTTGAATTTAAAATGTCTGTAAAAAATAACTGTGTTCATATATTTTTTAGATTTTTTGGTTACAGTATGAACTATTTATGAGAACCTTTGTTTTAAATCTTTAACCAATTTTAAAATTGGTCCCCATGCACCACACATAAATAGTATGCAAGTTGCTCACCTGAGCACTAGTTTCTAACGGTTTGTAATGCACAAAATGCATGCAACTTGTTGTGTGAGTTATAAACCGCTAGTGGCGCTAGTGTGGTCGACCGTCTTCTATGAAACTTTTGTTTGTCGGCAGTGACTCGGCACTTCCGCAGTTGGTTGCGGGCCGACTGGTCATCGACTTTTGTCTTTATTATTTTTACAATCGTGTCGTGAGATGCCCATTCTTGTAAACATTTTATTCCGTGTCCTAATTGTGTCTGGTTTTAACTAAGAAGACGAAATGTCAACATGCTTTGATGAAAAAGAAAATTTTTTTAATAGATTTTAAATGCAAATTATCAAACCAACTAGTATTATGCAATAAATTGTAATGTTTTTCCTATGTTCTGTCATAATTTGTTCATGCCTACGCAGACTTGTGTATTATAATATTATAAATATCGAATAAGGCAGGGCAATTAACTGTAAATATGTTAATATAATATAATATACATTTTAAATAACAAAAAAAAAAACACTTTATTCAAAATTGTATTTTCCGCTTTTTCGATTTTATACTATCATCGTACTCCCGAAATTTGTTATTGAAACATAGGGAAAACAACAAAATTTACAAATAACATTTAAATTAAGTAAATCAGCATCGCATTATCGGACAGTGTGGACGGTTTAATTTGAAATTAGAACGGTTTGTTGGCATGTTCGGCGTCGTCCTGTTTTTAAGCTCAGCTGAAACAACTGACTGTCCGACAAAGGCACTGTAATATTATTTTAAAAATATTATTTCTACTTAATTGTAGTACCCGAAATTCAATAATTGTGTGTTATGAGTATTAAATCATATATGTTATATATATTTGTATATATTTATATCCATTTGTTTAAAAATTAATTAAAAATTGAATAATAGTTCGATCAACTCGAATCGTACACCATTATATTCCACAAGTACCCAACTACCATCCCTGATAGTTTCGTGTAAAAAAAACAAAAGCCATGTATGCACTGAGCTACCGGCTGGAGTCTGGCCGATCTCCTCGCAATCACGCGGTGGTTGTGCAAATTTCGATTTCTAAAATTAGTTAAAAATCGAATAACCGTGCGATTTACTTGAAACCTTTACCATTAGATTACAGATATGATACTTCGAAACCGGACTAAAGATGTTAAAAAAATCTGTAAAAAGTGTAAAAAAAAACAAAAACGTTAACGTTAAATTTGTAGTGTTTATTGATTTAAATATCGGAGGAGATATTTCTTCGCTGAGTTTCCATTGATTTTGTGCCTTTTTTAATGATTTTCAGTTTTCCGTTGATGAGTTGTGAGGTAAAAGGTAGTAATTGACTTTTGACGATCAAACAGCTCCTGGGGCTGTCTTTTTATCTTGCTCTTGTACACAAGGTTCAGCTTGTTCTTCAGGAGTCTCATTTGGTTCAGTTTCATTGGACATGGCACGAGTTCGAAAGTCCTCGGGAAAGACTGGTCTTCAATCGAATATGTCGTTATGGCCATGTCCAATAGTGTCCAAGATTTTTAAAATAATTGACTGATGTCGCGATCGTTTGGCCGAGTGCCTCTCTCCTGCGGGACATGACAACGAATGAAAACGAAATAAATTAAAAAAAAAAAATTTAACACACGACGTGCTTCCGACGCTTCTCACTTACTTGTCCAAGTATTCGACATAGGGGTCAACGGGGCAACTGACCAAATCAGACCAATGGACGGGTGGAGTTTTGCGGTCGCGGAGCCACGCGGATACGTGGTACAGAACCCTTGAAACGTTTGCCAAATAATTTTTTACCTCGGCCGAATCGCGGTCGTGGCTCAGCGAAAAACTTTTCCTATGCAATACGAGCAGGGGGTGGTTGCTCGGCAACTGCTCTTGTAGCCCTTCTTCGGCGAGCGCTTTGCGTATGTGTTTGGGAGTACTGTGAACAAACGGATAGTAAAGGTCAATCGATCGAACGATCGGTCGGTCCGGAAGATAATACTAACGGGGTAAGATTTTGATCCTCCTTTGGTGAGAACATCCGGAACGTCGGCTCTGTCAAATTCCGGTGAACGCACTGGTTCGGCGGCTTCCGTCACCAGACAATCCCCGAACGGATTATGCTGCGGCAGGGCTTCGGTTAGGTCCCAGCTGCCCCCGTAAACATTCATATGACGCAAAGTCTAAAAATTAGAAAAATAGTGTGTCAAACACGGGCATGTTTAAGCGGCGAATATAAACGGTACTCACTGGAAAGCAATTCGCCGAAAGCTGACGTCGCCCCAATACGGGCCCATCTTCTCCTTGATATTCGACATTAGCACTAAAGAGATCGACCGCCTTGACTCTTTCCCCAGGGTCATTCCAATCTTTTTTAAGCTACGATTTGCGGGGTATTTTAAGCACTTTTCGTGCTTAATGCCGATGTGCCTGGTCAGCTTATTATCGTCGGTCTTATAACTACAAATTGGACAGTATTTCGCCATCTGAAACACAAAAAAATATCGCGGTTAATTTTCACGACACTCTACGTAAACCGCAGTGCGTGTAGAAAGTGATACTCACTTTATTGCTAACGTTTTTGTAGCGTTCTGTGACATTCAGCCTTCGTTTTTTGCCACAGCTGAATTTGACATCATCGTCGTCTTCGCTACTGTTGTTATATTGCAGGGGACTCTTCTTTCCGATCACCGCAGACAACGATTCGGAGTCGCTGCTGCTTCCTACGATTATGGCTGAAACGAGATGCATGAACGTAGAAAACGTTGAAAAAAGCAACAATATATAACATACCATCTTTGGACAAATTTGTGAATTTCAATCTCACTGGCGTTGATAACTGATCGGTTTCGGCCCAAGATGGACCTGCCACCGGTGACACAAAGGGTTGGATCTCGAGTGCTGTAATAGAGAAAAAAAATTTCGTTGACGAAAACGGTTCAAGTGTATTCGAACGGGGATACTTACGCTCGTCCTCCCAGTAGTTAAACAGGTCTGGTGACCCGGGTGGTGTGGGGGGTGTATATGTTAAGCTTGTCAGGAGAGTCCTAAAAGCGCAAGTGAATGTTAGATGGAGGAACGTCTTCCACCACACGTTGCACTTCCTCCTCTTCGAACAATTGCAGCTCCTCGTCCTCGTTCAGTTTAACATCCTCGTCATCGGACTTTACCGGGTCCGGTGCCACAAACCTTCTCGGAAAATATGTATTCCGGTAGTGAACTTTAACCATACGCTCAATAGCTTTGGATTTTTCACCATGGTATTTGATGATGGCTAAGTTGAAGAGAATGAAAAAAAGTCGATTAATAAGAAAAGTGTCGATTGTTTAAATCTATTTCTATAACTCACTTTTCATCATAGAATTCTTGGTTAACTTTTCAGGGGCCAAAGGCGGTGAAATCTTTGATTCCCCGTCGGGCTCTGGCACGGATAATTCCAAGACCACGATTAGTCGTACCATTTCTGCGGAAAGATACAACTCAATAATTTATACCGTAAAAAGAAATAATTAACTGTTACCTTTTTCGGCCAAACTTTCGTGCTCCGAAACGGACTGTTCTGCCACAACTATTGGCTTCCTTCGGGCTGATGGTGGTGGAGGAAGAGACTCTAACATTTTAACAAAAATATGTAACTCAATAATTTATGCAATAGAAAAAAATATTTACTATTCACCTCTGATATTATCATAATTCTTGAGTGCCTTCTTCAATGTTGTACGGGACACGTCTGTCTCCCGGGACGCACCGTTCACCGTAAACCCATACATTTTCACCAAATCAATGACCCTGGATAAATTAACGTTGTCCTGGGTCCTTACATAGCCTCTAGATGCCTATATATTTATAAAAACACAAGTATAAAACCGTTTATTACAAAAGAGACAATAACTTACTATTTTAGGAACAATCTTTAACTTCCGGACAAGTTCTCGGAGGGTAGTTTCAGGCACTCTGTATGTTCTAGCTGCCTGCCCAATCGATAATTCGCCTGCAGTAATAGCGTTAAGGGCCGATGAAACGTTTGCTGCAGTAGACATGATCTACAATGCCAAATAAAAACATATGCTAACTTGTAGGAACAAAAAAATATCGCGGAAACGAAGCGCCGGAGAGCATCAACCCATACATATAAACAGAGGCTGCGACACTAGCGCTTCGACAACGATTGTTCGAAAACACCGCTACTGACGGACGGGATGACATAAAAGCTAACATCAAAGAAAAAATAAAAACAATTGGGACAGTGTACTCGAATATACCACGACACTAGCGCTGCGATCGACGACGGCGGTTCAGGTAGCAAAATGTTCGGATATAAAATATAATATAAACTAGGACTATCCTAACCTAACAAGACCGATTCACGGGAATGGAGAATATATTAAAAATACTTATAAATGTTTAAATAAACCTGTAAAAAAAAAATCAAACAACTTAAAAGCATTAAAAAAAATTGCAATCACTCTGAGTGAAGACTTCCGACCGAAACTAGCCAACTTTCGTCGTACAGATTTCATACATGCGATCACAGATACCTCATTATTCACTGTCGGTCGTTACTAAAGTTTTTTTTTTAACTATCGGAAAACTCAACGAACAGTTTGACAAACGGTACAATGCCGGAATACTCCAACTATTGCACCATTGGTCGCCTCACAAACCGTTCGCCGAGTTCGCCTCAAGCCGTGAAAATATTTCTCTCCTAGCCGCGTAAGTCTGCCCGGGTGGGTCTTACTACGACGTCGGAAAGAAATTTTAAAATTAAAAGTCGACAATATAATTAGATATCCACTACCTGCGAACGACGTACTCGTTGGAGTCCTTCAGTCGGCACATAATAATATACTCACGCAAGGAAACGGTGTGTGTAGACACAGGAAACACAATAATGAACGAGTGGAAAATCAAAAAATTAAAAACAAAGACACACTAGAACAACTGAATGGCAAATGACGCCGCTCCGCTGCCCATATTTATAGACTAGTGATTCTAGCGATGTTACAACGGCAGTTCGGGCAGCAAAATTTCGCGACACTAGCGCTGCTAGACCGACTCACGGGGACAATATTTGGGAATTTGATGATTGAAGGATGATATTTATTTTTTTTCGACGCCGTCTTCGGTGTTGACATTGTCCCTCGCCTATAGGTCTCTATACGAAAAAATCGAGATTGACGTTCGAGAAAAATATAAAATTGACATTGTTCCTCTCATGAGGTGTCTGAAGGAAAATTTCAACAGGTTGAACCAAAATGAAATTCCCCATGAGATCCGAGGGCCAATAGACTTCATCACGGTTACACGATTGAAGTCAATCTAGGCATTCTCACGAGGACAATAGGCATGTCCTCATGATTCGGTCAAGGATTGACTTCAATCGTATGCCCGTGAATCGGTCTCTGAACGTCAGGCCCTTTGACCGACTTACGGGTACACGGTTTTTCGTCCATCCAAGACCTACTCACGAGGACAATACGCATGTCCTCGTGATTCTGTCAAGGATTGACTTCAAACGTGTGCCCGTTAATCAGTCTCGGAATATTAATCCAATTGCCCTACTCACGGGGACAAAATATGAAAAACGATTTGACACCGGATATCCGGACATCTGAAAACTGAATCCGGCGGACGAGGACAGCCCGATGTCAACCCTGGAGACGGCGCCGGGGAAAAATACTTTTCAACAGTTCAATCCTGAAATTCCCCGACCGTGTCCCCGTTAGATTTTCGATATTTTTCGGAAGTCAACTTTGCCAGATTTCATCTGACGGCTTTCAAACTTTAACACCAGATAGTTAATTGTAAAAGAAACTTGAATGGACAGAGGTGGAATAGAGCTAGGACGAATATTAAACGAGATATAGTGGTAGGAAATAGTTGAAAGTGAATTCGACTTCGGACGTGAGTACCGGGGAGTCGGTCCGCACACCACCCGGACACTTTGGATTTCACCGTGCATCGTTCCATCCTCATTTTCCCCAAGATATTGTCCCCGTCAGTGAGTCTGTCACCGACGTTCCCCAGATTGAAGTCCACCTGTCGATTCAAAAAAATTCTTATCGCTCGACGGCGGCCGATGGCGGTGCGGCCGCCCGGGCAGCCGACCGTCGCGTACGGTATTGGAATTCGATGACCGGCTCACGGGGACAAAATATGAAAAACGATTTGGCACCGGATACACGCGTACATCGACTATGTCGGTGCGTAGTGGTACGGCGTTCTCCGGGGAGACGACCCGCCGTCAAGGGAGAGTCGCCGGGTGGCTGTCACCGCGGTCCGTGATATTTCTCAGCGATCGATAACCGGACATCTGAAAACGGAAACCGGCGGACGAGGACTACCCGACGTCAACCCCGGAGACGGCGACTGCATAAAATTAATTTAAAAGCTTCAATCCTGAAATTCCCCGACCGTGTCCCCGTGAGATTTTCGATCGTTTTTGCTAGTCAACTTTGCGAGCTTTTGCCCGACGGCTTTCAAACTTCAACACCAGATAGATAATTGAAAAAAAAAACGTAAATGAACAGAGGTGGAATAGAGCTAGGACGAATATTAAACGAGATATAGTGGTAGGAAATAGTTGAAAGTGAATTCGACTTCGGACGTGAGTACCGGGGAGTCGGTCCGCACACCACCCGCACACTTTGGATTTCACCGTGCATCGTTCCATCCTCATTTTCCCCAAGATATTGTCCTAGTCAGTGAGTCTGTCACCGACGTTCCCCAGATTGAAGTCCACCTGTCGATTCAATAAAATTCTTATCGTGAGCCTGCAACGGTGTCGTTGGTTTCCCCCGTGACGATGTCCCCGTAAGTAAGTCATCATTCCCGGCATTGATGTCAACCTGTTGATTCAAAACACTTCTTATCGGCCGACCGATTACCTAACCCTGAATATTCTGGACGGTCCGACGAGACAGTAGCCTATGAATATTTTCTCATGACCCACTGTCGGGGACAATTTTGGGGAATTCACAGATTGAAGGGAGATATTTATTTTTTCACCACGCCGTCATCGGGGTTGACTTTAACCGGACCCCCACCGCCGATAACCATAATTTGGTCAGAGGATTTTTAAAATAAAAATTCGATTGAAATCGCTCTGGTTGAAATGCACGGTAATTGGATGTGAAAACGTCCCCTTGAACTGATCAATTCGCCCTGTAAAAATTCTTCGACATACCACTGCGCACGGTGTTTTTTATTTTTTTAATTTCAACTGCCAAATTCACAAAAATTAGTGTATTAAATTATAATATTATTTTATATTATTATTATTATTATTATTATTGTTTACCGTCGTCAGATGCTGCTCCGGTAAGTGAAGAGGGGTTTGACCCGGGGTTTACAGTTCACCATGCCGGTGATAGTTTTCGGAAGTTCGTCGTTCAAACGGCGGACGTTGTCTATAACGCGCTGCCATACCGCAACTTTTTCGGCTCCACTTTTCAAACGAACATATTGTTTAAGTGTCAGCCGCAATTCTAGCTGAATTTCCACACTACCCAAGGGGTATCAGCTACAGCGCGTTTTTTTTAAAGTGGTTTCCCCAAGAGGCCTATTCCACTGAACTCCCAACGTCGGTAACTAGTAATACTAGTTATTATTATTTAATTTACTTTTTAGTGAACTTTTTTAAAATGATACTTATCATCCTTTCTTTGTTTTGTTTTAAAAAGTAAAAGATTTTTTTCTGTTTTGTGATATCTACTATCGCGTGCCTTGATATTGTATTTTTGTCGTATGTT